TATACTTATGAAAGGAACATAGAACTGTTTAAGTAACATGTACTTAGAATTAATTAGTCACCATTTTTTTCAATCACTTACAAAAATATATCAACTTGGTCACATTTCATATCAAAAGTCTATATGGGAAGGATTTTCACTGAACGAAAACAACAACATTCAAAACACATATTTCGCTGAAAACATTTAAATATTTTGTTCAGCGGAGGGAACAATTACAATAAACGTTCTTGAACGTTGATTCTCGTGAAGTCGAAATTCATACATGTGTTTTGACGCCAAATTGGATGATCATGATAATATGAAAGTTCCATTTTATAATAATAGAGTCTCTCCACCATATTAACGTTTTCTATATAACCAGCACATGATTGAAAAGATCTCAATTACATATTAGTCCATTTGCTAAATGCCAGTTATAGTGCTCGTTATATGGAGAACTCGCTTGTTATAGATTGCTCTACGAGTCATTCACAACGAAAAAAGGTCTGAAATAGCACCTTATATGGGAAAGTTTACCTTGTCTGACGACTTAGAAGCCGTAAAGTCCGCAGTCAATCAGCGTAATATGATAGCGATATATCTTTTAGTTTTCTCCATTCTTCCCATAACTTAGACAATAAATTCATCTAATAAGTTAACTTTATTTTAGATGAGGACAATACTTGTATGTACTAGTTGGTTGGTACAGTTAATGAGGTATCTCTAACAACCCTCCCGAGACTGAAAGACCTTAATCTTGAAACTAATCAACCTCTTGCTTTGATCAGTGTCCAAAAAAATTCCGAACAATTTTCATGTTCGAATTGTCTGGATGAAAATAAATGATGAAACATAAAAAATTAAACATTTTGAAACACAAAAATACATAACATTAAAAGGGCATGGAAGATAAAAATTGAGAGAATGAATAACAAATGAATATTGACAGCAAAAACGCACACATAGCCTAATGACCTCCCAACAGGGCTCTTCAGCCGTGAAGCTAAACAAGAGAGAAAGAAAAGGGCTTCAAAGCAAACTAGAGACAAGGATGGTAGCAGAGAGAGAGAGAGAGAGAGAGAGAGGCACGTAAAGAGACAGACAGACAGCCAAGGAAATTATGACGCGTTCAGTAGCATCAGGAAGAGCCTAGTTTTTGGTTTCTGGATAACAACATGAAACGGATATTAAGGCGCACTGTCCTGTCTTTACTAGACTGGTGCTCCGTCTTCGTCCGCTGAGCCTTGTGCTCCGTTATCTACTTCAGGGGCTGGTGCTCCTTGTGAACACCTGCAAGGCTTGATGCTCCGTGCTCCAGTACTAGGTCCTGGTGCTCCGGGCTCCTAGTTAGAGTGAGTAGTTGGTTGGTGTTCCGTGCTCTGCCTGTGGGTGTTCCGTGCTCTTGCGGTGGGTGTTCCGTGCTCTGGCGGTGGGTGTTCCGTGCTCTGGCGGTGGGTGTTCCGTGCTCTGGCGGTGGGTGTTCCGTGCTCTGGTTGTGGGTGTTCCGTGCTTTGGCGGTGGGTGTTCCGTGCTCTGGCGGTGGGTGTTCTGTGCTCCGGCGGTGGGTGTTCCGTGCTCTGGCGGTGGGTGTTCTGTGTTCTGGCGGTGGGTGTTCCGTGCTCCGGCGGTGGGTGTTCCGTGCTCTGGCGGTTGGTGTTCCGTGCTCTGGCGGTGGGTGCTCCGTGCTCTGGCGGTGAGCCGTGCTCCAGCGGTGGGTGTTCCGTGCTCTGGCGGTGGGTGTTCCGTGCTCTGGCGATGGGTGTTCCGTGCTCCGGCAATTGGTATTCCGTGCTCCGGTCAGTCTCTTATCCTCACCGGATGTAGGGATTACTGAAAGGGGTTTCCAGTCTCATTCCAGTTATCTGTAATGTTAGAAATAAGAAACATTTGAAATTTAGAATTTCCCAACATAAATACTCTGAAAGACACGGCCAATTGTCTAATGCTTTGCTTGAAAGAGCTCAACAAATAGATTGGGAGATGGCTTCCGCAATAACGAACTGTTAAAACATTGTTCAATAGGAACATTATTGAATCTGCTTTAATACAGATTACAAAATCATGTGATTCGAACATTATCAGTGGTTTGTATAATTTAGATTTATTTTTGGTTGGTAAGTTAGAGGTGCAATTTGAATAGGATCATTGATACAAATTTATTTTACTAATACCATATTAATATTCCATTATCTCATTAAAGACATTGTACCTTACCTCTTTCCTGCCTATATATTCACACCCACTGAACTTCTGAAGATATATATATATATATATATATATATATATATATATATATATATATATATATATATATATATATATATATATATATATATATATATTTATATATATTTATATATATATATATATATATATATATATATATATATATATATATATTACTAACATAAAATGCTGAAGTGTATGCAGATCGCAAGTATACTTTAGGCCAGGGTAGTAACCTCTCTGTGTATATATATGTCCATTGTGCTAGGACTGCTGACCTGTTGTGGTGGGGGAGTGGGTATGTTGTGGTGTAGAGTGGGTATGTTGTGGTGGGGAGTGGGTATGTTGTGGTGGAGAGTGGGTATGTTGTGGTGGGGAGTGGGTATGTTGTGGTGGAGAGTGGGTATGTTGTGGTGGGGAGTGGGTATGTTGTGGTGGAGAGTGGGTATGTTGTGGTGGGGAGTGGGTATGTTGTGTTGAGGCGGGCGCATGCGCGTGACGCCCCCTCGCCCGAGGGACTCACCAGGAGAGCGGGTCACCGACAGTGCGGCCACAGCAGTAGTAGGAGGAGGACGCAGCCGCCCAGCACTCGAGGGTCACTGTACACCGCAGGACACCGAGCCTTCTGCACCGCGGCTGATTCCTCCCCTGAGACGCCGAATAAAAGGTATTAAACATACATATATATATTCATTAATTATCAGTGACTACGTATGTAGTCCCTAAAAACAAATATATTACACGTAGCTAAGTCGACTTGGAACCTTCGAAATCACACTAAACGGCAGTTAAAGAAGTTTCACTTAAATCACGTTGCTTTCTTCCCATTAAGATTTGTATGTTGGGTTAAGATATTAGAACCAAGATATAGTATTATTCCATAAGGCTTTGGCCTCTTGAATGACCTTCGAGGTCATTACTTAGGCTTCAGGCCTACTTTCAACGACCAATGTGCTGTTTGATAATTGATGTATGTGTGTGTTTATGAAATAAGGTACATTATTGACTTTTTGTATAATGACATATATATGATAATTAGTTCATTGTGCATGACTCAGAGTAACTTTTAAACGTATAATATTATTAGCTCGATTTACAACTCTCATTTCCATTCATTCCTTTAGTTGTATGTTGCTTATTGTTGAAAGTTGCTTAATTCTAATGAGTTTAATCATTTATAATTTGTTATAATTGCACTTGGCACTAGATAAATTATACCAATTATAATTTGTTATAATTAATGAGCACACCTCATTAATTATCTTATTATCAGTTTGAAGGACATAAGGCTATTAATTTATTTTTCATTAACGTTTAGGACCTAGGCTATTAATTCATTTTGAATACAAATGCTGGATCTATGGGGCTATTGAGTTGCTTTGAATACAAGTTTAGTACAGATAGGCTATTAGATAAGATAAGATAATGATAATGTTTAATCAGGCAAAAGTACATATACATTCAAAATGAGTTACAAACATAATATTGAATTTCTAGATTTATTTAATAAATCTAGAAATCTAGAAATAAACGAAATAAATCTAGAAAATAATTTCTAGATTTATTTCATAAATCTAGAAATCCATCCCGGATTTATTTCATAAATCTAGAAATGGAGACATAACGTAGAAATAAATCAAAAGTAAATATTTAATAAATATCAAATTCTGCTTGCTATCCGGTGTTAATAATTTTCAGATTAATTTGTACAGAAAATAAATGATTCTGAATTAGTTGTATAAATGATTTAGATTGATTTAAATTGGGGGGGAGGGGGAGATCGAGTGTGGTTAATGGTGCTAATGGTTATAGAGTTTGTAATTGGTGTTGACCAAGCACTTTATACGTGTATGGTGACTCACCATAACTGGTCCTGTACACCTAGACTCATCATGTGCACGAAGACTCACCACGTGCGCCAAGATTCACCATTAACCAGGTGTACCAGGACTCACCATTAACCACATGCACCAGGACTCACCATTAACCACGTGTACCAGGACTCACCATTAACCACGTGCTCCAGGACTCACCATTAACCACGTGTACCAGGACTCACCATTAACTACATGCACCAGGACTCACCATTAACCACATGCACCAGGACTCACCATTAACCACATGATCCAGGACTCACCATTGACCACGTGCACCAGGACTCACCATTGACCACGTGTACCAGGACTCACCATTAACCACGTGCTCCAGGACTCACCATTGCCCACATGCACCAAGACTCACCATTGACCACGTGCACCAGGACTCACCATTAACCACGTGCACCAGGACTCACCATTGACCACATGCACCAGGACGGACGCGGCCTCGGCAAACTCTGGCCCGCAGGTGTAGTTTCCCGAGTCGGCCTTGAGGGCTGGAGTGATGAAGAGCTTGGAGGTGGTCCTCGAGGGAGTCTTCTCGATCTCCACGCTCACTCCGCCTCTGAGGGGGACGCGGTGTGAGGGGGAAGACGGGTACCAGAGATGATGGGGAAGATGGTAGTGGAAAGAGTGTACGTAGGGTGGTTTAAGGGGGAAAGCGAAGATAAAAATAAACAGAAGGATAATTCATTAAAGAAGAGAAGAACGTGGAATAAACATTCTTTATTTTTTCAATCAAGTGAGTTTTATCAATGCAATATTTACGTAGGTAGTGCTTGGTGGATATTGATATTTGGGGAACACTTTTTCAGTAGTGGAGCACTTCAGGTGTACGTCAGGGAAGGTGCTACACCTGGGGAACACACATGGGGAGGACCCACACCCCAGGAACACACCTGGGGAGGACCCACACTCCAGGAACACACATGGGGAGGAACCCACACCCCAGGAACACACCTGGGGAGGACCCACACCCCTGGAACACACCTGGGGAGGACCCCACACCCCAGGAACACACCTGGGGAGGACCCACACTCCAGGAACACACATGGGGAGGACCCACACCCCAGGAACACACCTGGGGAGGACCCACACCCCAGGAACACACCTGGGGAGGACCCACACCCCAGGAACACACCTGGGGAGGACCCACACTCCAGAAACACACCTGGGGAGGACCCACACTCCAGAAACACACCTGGGGAGGACCCACACTCCAGAAACACACCTGGGGTAAACATACACGCTGCCAACAGCAACAAATATTCCTACTTGAGACCAGTGTAAGGCTGGCGCACCCAGGTGTCTGTGTGGCACAGAAGCTCAAGGAAACTTGTAAAGTTAGAAAAGTTTTTAATGAAGCTAACTTAGCCCAGTTGTGGAGAACGAAGGAACTGGACCCATCCACCCTGAAGTATAGCAGAGAGACAAACCAAATACTAAGATAGTGATGAAAGCTTGAGACGTGACCCTTAGATTTTCCTCCTAACCCGTCAAACACACACCGAAACTACGACGTTGGTACAACGTTCGAACACGTTTTAACACTTCCTAACCAGTTATAACAACCAATATAGCAAGTTGTAACAACGTTCTAGTACGTCATAAACACGTTAAGCCAAGATGTAACAACTTTATTACAAGTTGTAACAAGCGGAAAATAGAGACAGTTTCGGTTTGTGTTTCCAGGGAATAGATCTCACCATTTACAGTGACAATCATATGTGCATTTTTCTCTTAGAAACACTCCTTTAAGAATGGTAGGAAAATAAAATAAACTTGAAGTGGAATGCATTAGGCAGTGATGTGGTGGAGACTGACTCCACACACAGTTTCAAGTGTAGATATGATAGAGCCCGGTAGGCTCAGGAACCTGTACACCTGTTGATTGACAGTTGAGAGGCGGGACCAAAGAGTCAGAGCTCAACCCCCGCAAAGCACAACTAGGTGAGTACACCTGAGAGAGAACACACACCTGGGAGAACACACACCTGGGAGAGAACACACCTGGGAGAACACACACCTGGGAGAGAACACACACCTGGGAGAGAACACACACCTGGGAGAACACACACCTGGGAGAGAACACACACCTGGGAGAGAACACACACCTGGGAGAGAACACACACCTGGGAGAGAACACACACCTGGGAGAGAACACACACCTGGGAGAGAACACACACCAGGGAGAGAACACACACCTTAGAGAGAACACACACCTGGGAGTGAACACACACCTGGGAGAGAACACACACCTGGGAGAGACCACACACCTGGGAGAGAACACACACCTGGGAGAGAACACACACCTGGGAGAGAACACACACCTTAGAGAGAACACACACCTGGGAGAGAACACACACCTTAGAGAGAACACACACCTGGGAGAGAACACACACCTGGGAGAGACCACACACCTGGGAGAGAACACACACCTGGGAGAGAACACACACCTGGGAGAATCGTAGTCGAGTCTGTGGGCGTCGCGGAACCAGACGACGGCTCCCACATTATCAGCGTGGGTGTTGACCCGACAGGTGAGGCGGATAGTCGAGCCGTTCTGTATATACACCTCCGCCGGGCCCTCGATCCTCGCCTTCTGCACTGTGGGAGAGGGAGACTCACTGTGGGAGAGAGGGTGACCTTGTGGGTGAGGGGGAGCAATCATCATGCTAGCCCCCAGCCAGTCAGTCAGTCAGCCAGTCAGCCAGCCAACCAGCCCCCAGTCAGCCAGCCAGCCAGCCAGCCAGCCAGCCAGCCAGCCAGCCAGCCAGCCAGTCAACCAGCCAGTCAACCAGCCCCCAGCCAGCCAGCCAGCCAGCCAGCCAGCCAGCCAGCCAGCCAGCCAGCCAGCCAGCCAGCCAGCCAGCCAGCCAGCCAGCCAGCCAGCCAGCCACAATGACCACCAGTAATGAAGAAAAAGTTATTCTCCCGTATAGCTAAGGACAACGTATTAAATTTAATTATGAACTTTTAGGGAGAGGTTTTAGGCTCAGGCCCCAAAGTGAGATTTTAGGTACGAAAATGTTTATAGAAGTACGGGAGGCACAGAGGTCGCTGTGCCACGACTAGGGCGGTGAGGGAGTGGCCTCCTTGGCCTACTTTGGGCCACCTGCTGTACCCCGGCCACCTGCTGTACCACATCCACCTGCTGTCCACTCAGCTAAAGGCCCCCATGTGTGTGTGTACATGTGGAACTTATACAACTCATCTTCAAGGCCGCGGCCGCGTATATAAACCTAAAACTCAGGTTTGAAACAGTCAAAAGCCTATCTATGTTTGACGTTTTGGACGCTTTTCTTCTCAATAGATTTTTTTCGGGTATTTGTTTTCATAGAGATCTGTGCGAGGCTCCGACTAAATTTTCTGTCTTGAAATGATGGCTTTATTCCGGTGAAAAGGAGTGGAAGGAGGCTGACGGGGGCCCCGTGGTGTGGACACTGGCAATCTCTCGCTTGGGTGGCGCTATGTCTAGTGTTGCTTCACTGACGGGGGCAGCTTCGGCCACCAGGAGGCTCTTCCTGCTGGATGGTTTGGTGGAGTGTCAGAGTTGGTAGACTCATTGACTCGCTCTCGCTGTCTGGCTCTCTCGCTCTCTCTTGCTCTTGCTCTCGCTCTCTCGCTCTTGCTGTCGCTCTCGCTCTCTCGCTCTTGCTGTTGCTCTCGCTCTCGCTCT